AGAAGAGAATAGATGAGACTTAGGTTGAAGCCGATTTCTATAGGACTTTAATTATATTTAGAGATAAGAGAGAGAGAGAGAGAGAGAGAGACAAATTGAAAGGATGAGCCCTTGGGATGTAAAATGGAGAGATTTTAGGGAAAGGGAGAAGTGATGGGTGCAATATATTTGCTGGTTAGGAACTAAAGTCGAGTGCGGTAAGTGAAAAATTTTGGTTTACATTGGTCATCTTTTGGGAGATTTAATTTGAATCAGAATTATGCTTTGGATTTTATACATATCGAATTTAATTGTCTTGAATTGATGGTATGAGGATAGAGGTGCACATGCATTTCCAAGTTAATTAGTATCTAAGAAAAATAAATTGTGTATTTATTTTTTATCAAAACTCCCCTAATAGTAACACTCGTCAAAATGAAAAGGGCCTTGCAACAGACGAATGCCCAAATTAAAGAGGCTTAGTACATAGTACTTCTATGTTACTCTCGTGGTATATTTGTCTCCAGGTAATCATAAGTTCATAAGTCCTCTTCTTACATGGGATATTTCATCAACAATGTGGAGCAGGGGCCATTGGCAGTTAGCCAAACCAGATGCCCATGAAATAACATTGTGGGAGTCCCTTGCTATGGTGAGAGCTTGGCCCCAAGAGTTGTCAAGTAGTTTGAGGCCCTCAAGAAATATGATCTAGCATCTGTTGATTGGAAATCGGAGTGACCTATGGACTTCGAGAAAGAGGTCAAAGTGGAGCCTTTGTGGTCGCTAAAAAGACCTATACTTGATGGCCCTGGGCTGCCTATGGAACAACCATCAAGGTTGAGCTTTACGCGGCCCAACTCTGGAGGAAGCCACAAGGAGGCTCGTGAGTTACTCGTGTAGAAAAGGAGATTGTACTAGTGTAGGTGGAAGGCTGAAGGGGGGAAGCCTTTGAACCGCTTGTGTTTAGTAGCCGAAAAGATAACTGCCACTTTGATTATATCAAACAAGGATTCAATGGTAGAGAACTGTCCTCTGAAGATATGATTGTTACGTTCTATCCAAATTTCCCAAATGAGGGCTGCCATTGAAGCCTTCCACAATATGATACCTGAAGAGGCCTAGGGGTAGAGTTGGAGAGAGGAAAAGAGATTGGGAATATTTTTTGGGGTCACCCATTGTCATTTGAAGAGCTGAAGAAATGCTCCCCAGAAGGAATGGGCCAAGGGACAATATATAAAGAGGTAAGGGTTAGTTTCCTCGGCTTCTCGACACATGATACATCAATTAGGTAAAGCCAAGCCTCTCTTTTGCAGTTGGTCAATAGTTAATGTTCTTCGAAAGAGAGCAATCTAATTGATTGGCCTGTGGATGCATGTACAATGAAGGTTTCACTTTGTGGGTGTGTGGATTGGCGTGTATTTCTACTCATTCATTCTTGCTTGGTCATTCATCTGACTCTGAGATATGAGTTTGGCTGCTTTGCTTTAGTATCGAATGGGCTATGAAGATTCCTATGTGTATCGAATGGCGTATGAAGATTTCTGAATGGTAATTTTAGAAACCTATAATCCAAAATTTTAAAATACATGCGTCTTTTCCTTTCTATAAAACTGGTGGAGGGCACTAAATATAATTGTGCATGCTCCAAATTTTCAAATTTCAAGACTTCTTATTTTATTTTTACTAATCAAATCTACCTGAAATTTGGAGGGTGGGTGCGCTTAGAAAGATGCAGCTTAAGAACATTATGAAAATTACTCAAATAGTGAAAATGATCACACCCCAAGTTTTATAATACTAAAATTCCTGAGATGTGATAGTTTATTCTTAAGGAACAAAACAAATTCTAAATTTTTTTTTCTTATATATTGCTCCAAAATAAATTTTCCAGTCACAAGCTTTCAGACTTGTACAAAGCTTATTGCTTATAACAACATGAGGATTTATATATATATATATATGAGTAATGATCCTATGAGACCCTCCCACATCCATGTGTGTAGGACCCCAAAGGATCACCATTAAATTTGATACATATCTCTAGAAAAGTTATCACATGGGTGTTGGACTTGACTTTTCTAGAGATCTGTGCCAAATTTAATGGTGATCCTTTGGGGTCCTACACACATGGGTGTGGGAGTATATAAAATTGACAAACCACTTTGACAAACTTCAGTTATGATCTAGGCCAAGTAGTTTTATATAGCCAATCTTGGTCCTTACCCAAGTCATACAAAAATTGATTTCTCACTTCAATCATACCTAGCCAGGGGTCATGAAATTGTAGTAAAGAATTGAGGATATTGTTAATTGATGGAGCTTTTTATAGTGTCTTTATTGTGTTGTGGCAACCCTAAATTAGTGAGTTTATTATCATGAAATGAAACAACATGTTGAAGCCCTTGATAATGATCCACTTCTTGTATTTCCGGAGGGATTTTGTGAATAATGTGTACATAGGTATGTTTAACATGGTATGTAACTATGTGCATTTGATTTCGTTTAAGATGGTATGTAACTATGTGCATTTGATTTCATTTTAGGTGTACATTAAGAAATAATCAACATCATATGACTCTGATTGTAGACATGAATTTTGTTTTGGTCATTTATGACCTGCTTGTTAGATTTAATCATAAAATGATGAGCAATTGGTAAGATGCATAATAGCTTTTATTTTAGTTGGAATTCTTATTTCCTCTTCCCAATTCTATCTTGAATAACCATTGAATTTTTCATTTGGCCCATGGGATCATTGGATCTAGAGTCATTTCATTTTGATTTGTCATATGCATGATGATATTGTGCACCTCATGAGTTTGGCAGTATTTAATCTACTCATAGAACATGGGAGTAGCTGAATGGATTAGATGAATCAAAGATGCAGTTTTTAGACATGTTTTGGTGTGTGGCTTTACTACTATATCCAATTAATCTGTTGCTGCTTCTGACACATCAGTAGACAATCTGGTGAGGCTCACCAAACACGTCATTTTTTGGCGACAAACATATCTCGAAATCTTTTTTATGTTAGTTTTTCTTATTTTTCTATTACTCTAATTATGTATAAATACTTTGGTAAAAGAATAATATTTATAATTTTAAAATTCATGTTTTATTCTTTTAAGATGTTTAAGATATTTAGAACTTTTTGTGTTAATAGTACAAAACTGAAGAGTAATTTTTTATATGTACCACCAATGATTGAGAGGAAGAAGGTTGGTTGACTGGTGAATAATTTTTGTATGTACCACCAGTGATTGAGAGGAAGAAGGTTGGTTGACCATATTAGAGATAATGAAAAATACATAGAGAGGGTTATTCAATGAACTTGGGTCCGTCTGAGAGTGCTTTCCCTCTTCTCCCTCGCTTGGGCCCTCCTCGAACATCGCCTTCCTCCGCCCAAGCCCTGACCCCTACTCGACCACCGCCTTCCTTCGCCCAACCCTTTTCCTCTCTAACCTCTCCCCCCCTTCTTACCATAGCTACACCAGCCTAATCCATAATGGAGCTCCTTCGCCTAATTCGCCATTCCAATTGGGGGGCCACATCTTTCCATATTGTGAAGGCTTTGAGGTCCTCTTCAGTGGGTCGATACACCACCCCCATGCACAACATCAAAGGTATAGAGAAATGGAATAGGGAAGTTTGGGCTGTCTCAGACCTAACATGTCTGAAGAATTTCTTTTCTCTTTCCCATCCGAAGTCAGCCGTAATTGTGCCCTGCAGGGACACCATTCTCAGTTCAATGGGGCATCTCTCGCCCTTTCTGCTTGGAATTAGAACTTGGGAGCCGAGCCGAACTGTATTAGCCAATGGAAAAAAAAGGCAAATTTCCAATCACCGCTCATGGAGGACTGCCCTTTTTGCTGAAAAGCTGCTATATAGGGCAGCAAAACTTACTTCGCAAGCTGCTCTAGTGAGAGAAAAGAGGAGCTCTGATCTGGTTATGGATGTGAAACCTGGCAAGGCCATACCTGCTTCCTTGGAACTCCTCAATGAAAAATACGATGAATGTAGCAAGGTTTGAGCAGAGTATGCCATGACTTTTTTTTGTATGCCAAGACTTTTCACCTAGGTATTGCTCTCTCTCTCTCGAATTGCTCTCTCTCGCATTGGGGGGAGGCTTGGGGGTGAAGGAAGTTGGAATGGGTACTCTCTCCTCTCTCTATCCGAGAATTTCAATGGGTACTGTAAATGGGACCGGCTTTTTTAATGTGTCCCTCTTTCTAAATTAACACTTCTCTCTAAACTAAATTGTGTAGCATTATTTATACTCTCCCTGAAAAAAAACTGATTGATTAGCTACTATGCTATGAGTCTTTATGCTGTTGCTCTGTTTTTGAACTTATAATTAGCTACGTTACTCCTCCCTTCCTTTCTCTACTTCTCTTTCTCTCTCTTCTCTTTATAGTAATGTGACAAAATTTTAAGATAGAGGTGGACAGTAATGTGACAAAGTTTTAAGATAAAGGTGGACAGTCAAACATGCACAGAAAAATGCATATTCAGAATAATTTATAATTCATATATATGGAAAACTGGTAATGATTATATTCATATTTCTAAAAATATGAATATCCAGATTCTGTTTTGTCAAGCAGAAACATAAAGTTTTAAACGACAAGAAAAGAATCTCGTTTCCCTTTTTTCTGCACCATTTTTATTTAAATGAGAGATAGCAGATAGAGAAGCTCACTGTGATGAAAATGCTATGGGATATGTTATAGGGAGTACAAACTCCATGGAAATGATAAGCCGGTAAGAATGTCGGCCATAACCCTCCAATTTTTTTTTTTGTGGGTAAGTCAGTGGGGGAGACATAACCCTCCAATTCTATTTTCGGACATGCAATTTCCGAGATATAATTACCTGTCACTTTGCATTGGTATATCTGCGATTTGGAGGTATTTGGATTGAGTCGAGGCACAAGAGAAGTTAATGGTAATCATAATCTCGGAGATTCTCATAAAAGTAACCATGATTTTCAGTTCACATAAAGTACAGAAGAGAGAGAGAGAGAAAGAGGGAGAGAGAGAAAGAGGGAGAGAATTTTTGAGGATTTTTTTGGTTAAAAATGGGAGAAATGTGATTGGTGAGTGTTTTGATTGGTTGATTATTTAATTGGTTAAAAATGGATTTCAGAAGGGGTGTCAGCGTGAAGTAGTGGAGGGAGAGAAGCCTTGTCCAATGACACATCTGTCAACTGATCATTCTAACTGTGAGTGATGTGGTAATTTCTGATTTGTGTTTCATTATATTTGTTGTGAGAGAAAATGTTCTTCCTTGGTTTTTTCTTTTCTTTTTTCTTTTATTTATCAGTATCGAGTGTTAAGCATGAGGTAGTAATGTATGTGCAGGGAACAACGCTGAATTGCTTCTACGAGATCGACCACCTTAGGCTGCTTGTAAATCCCCTATTCACCTCAAGACAATTTGTGTTGTGTGGGTATGGAAACTAACAAAACCCTATTCTATTCTCAATGACCCCTTGAGTTTTACTGTTGCCATCATATTAGATAGTTTCTCAGATATTTGGACTGTCTGGATTTGATGGTTTCATGAATTTTACATCTATTAATTCTTCTTTCTAGTTCATGGCATTGGTTCTATCATATTTTGTCCTGCCTTAGTTCCAGGGTACAAGAAGGGTACATTAAAGAACATAAAAAACATAAGAATTATATAAACTTGTGGGATCAATTTATGTATATGTAATTTGGATATGCTTTACAATGGATTGTGAGTTTTTATTGTCAAATGCCCTATTTCTATATTTTTCTTTTTGGATTTTGCTGGAATCTCCAACCGTAAACCATATTGTCTAATCCAATTTGTTATATTATTTTCAGCTTATTTGGATTCCTTACATGTTTATTTTTAGTTTTGTTTCGGGTTTAAAGTTTTTATTTTATTTATTAGCATTTTAAAGAAATCCTTTTTTTGAAGGGGCTTGGGTCATGTACGGGCCTAGTCCATTCAGCCTCACACTTGGCTGAGTTACTCAGGCTGATTCCAAGGCCCAAGCAAAGTAGAATAACACTTCTTAGTATTAACCATGAATGTCTGTTACACGCACAGACATGGCCATGGTGTAAATGCTCATACAAGAAACCATTCATTTCTTGAACATTGGGAAATTTTGGTAGTTTACTCATGAATATTATTTTTAATAGATTTTTCACATAACACAGCGTAGAAACATGTGGACAAATGAGGCATGTGATGATTTTTTCTTTTATTCTTTTCTACATACTTGCTGAACATCTATGGGGATAAAAATATTTTAAGATCCTTAACTAACTCTTTTTTTTTTTTCCTATTTTTCTTTTTTATGATGGTTCGAGTGTTTGAAAAAAGCATAAACCAATTTAGAAAGATATTCCCGTTAATGAAATATTTGTTGTAAACCTAAGACCCGCCATGAATGATGAGCTTAGGTGCATTGGCCAAAAAATGGTGATAACAAAGATGGCAGAGGTCAAGGAGGTAGGACATGAAACCTTGTGAGATCGAGGCTTTTTTCTAGAACTTGGGAAGAGCTTAAGGGAATTTCGGATCTGATTTGGTAACAGATGGAGAGCTTACGCTTGGATGGTTTCTGACCTTTGCATATGTATATCATATGTAGTCCACTCTGCCTTGTACTTGGTTGAGTTACTTGCTCAGGCAAGAATCGAGTCCAAGGCCCAAGCAAAGTGTTATAACATCGCTTAGTATTAACCATGAATGTCTGTCATATATGAACCCATTCATTTCTTTAACATTGGGAAATTGTGGTTATTTCCTCAAGAATAATATTTTTAATAGATTTTTCACATAACACAACATAGAAGCTTATGAACAAATGAGGCATGTGATGAAGTTTTTGTTTTTTTTTTTTAACAAACTTGTTAAACATCTATGGGGATGAAAATATTTTCAGATCCTTAACTAACTCTATTTGTCCCTTTCCTATTTATTTATTTATTTTTATTTTATGGGTCGAGTGTTTGAAAAAAGTATAAACCAATTTAGAAAGATATTTGTTGTAAACCTGAGACCTGCCATGATTGATTTGGTTTGGTGCCTTGGCTGAAAACTAGTGATTATAGAGATGGTAGAAGTCAAGAAGGTAGGACACGAAACCTTGTGAGATCGAAGCGTTTTTTTTAGCACTAGAGAAGAGCTTGAGGGACTTTGGGATCTGATTTGTTAACAAATGGAGAGCCTACGCTTGGATGGTTTTTAACCTTCGCGTCTTTGTGTTTTCTCAACGCAATCTTCTTTATATCTATGCTATTATTGGTTTTCCTCATTGTTTTTGTTTGTTATCTCTTCCATTTTTTTCTATTATAATTGATTTTGTACTATGAAGCACATCATATTTTGTTATGCTTTTATGATTCACTTTATATGATCCGTTCTTGTCATGTGTTTTGTTACTTTTGTATATTGGGTCTAAAATTTCTTCAGAAGGTCCTGGGAGAAATGCTCAACAATTTATGCTCTAAACTCTTGGACTATAGAACTGAATTTACAGTTTACAAGAAAAAGTTTTAGTATGATCCATAAAACTTTCTTCTCATAGAATGTTTTTTTTTCTCTCGACAACCCAATTTTTTCCCTCTAAAACCATTTTCTATCTCTTTTGGGTTGGATGCCTTAATTGCGTTTTTCTTTTACTCCACATATGTCCCATCTATTTGAGGCTGCCTCCAAACCCTAGATTTATCACCCTAAGGTCGTCGGCATAGGACCTTTATAGATTGGTATCGATGGATGCCTTAATTCCATTTTTCTCGATTCTTCTTTTTCCTTGTTATTTTTACAATTGATAGAGGTGATATTGATGGATAAAATGAAAGTAGACGTTGTTGGTAATGGTAATGGTTTGACCTGGACACATGGTTTGAGTTACTCTTTTTTTTTTTACCTATCTGCCATCATTTCCTATTAGATAAGGGCAAGCTTTCTATGCATCCCCTACAGCATAAAGCTTATATACTGCCCCTTATCCAACTGTCCATTCTATATGGACGGTTGAGATGGCCCTAATCACAATGTCACGTTACATGTCTAAGAGAAAATATTCATAGGACCATTACAACTGTAGAAATGGCTATGATTGCAGATAAATGCCACATGAGAAGTTTATTTCTGGCAGTCAAGGATGAGAGATCCTAAAGATTCTTGCCAGAGGCATTGCAAATGCCATAAAGTCTCCAACAGGTTTCTTTGAAACAAACACCATACGCATATTTGCTGGTAGATGGTACCCTTGGCTTTAACTTTACCTCTAAGAGCTCTAATAAGAAAGACACCAACTCGCTAGGTTAGAATGCTACTATGGAATCAAAACCCGAACAAAATTGCACTTTAGTGCATCAAGCCTGCAAGTATAATGAGAAGTTTATAATAACTCTTTCCTTTTCTATTATTGTTGTTGGCGCATTGATTGCCACACTCGAAGTTCAATGAGTTTGAATTTTTTTTTTTTTTAGGACATTACCATTGGTTGGTTATCCATGTAAAAAAACAAATTCCACAAAAAAGCATTTGCATGCCAAAAGCCAAAATCATATTTGAAGTATAGAAAAATTGAATTTCTTGTCCACCATATTCAAGCTTTATAAATATTCAATAGCGAATATGTGATGGTACAAACTAGTGGTAAACATAGCATCACAATAGGAAGAGGTCACAGGCAATCTTCATATACAACATGCTAACAAGTTTATAGTTGTTACCTAACAATTAACCACTTGTTTGAAAATTCCAACCAATTTCACAGGAGTAGGAGAAGACCACTGTTCTGGTTTCTTTGTTTTACCTACTGCAACAAGTAAAAATGATACCAAGATGGATGATTGCTTATCAAGTGAAAATGACGAAAACTTGATAATATGAAGGAACTCAACTTCCCAAAATAAATGTTCAGAAACCAGCATGATTCTGCCTCTCAAAATTAAGGGGAATGCATTGCCTTCATGTCACCTCTCGGCACTACCAAGCATTTCCACACTTACCTATATATCTCCAATGTCTCCTCCAAGCTTGCCAAGCATTTTGCACGTGCACCCCAAGATTTTTCATGCATTTCTCAGGGTAAAACATTTGAAGTATTCATCAGAGTTTTCCACAGAATTTTCAGCACACATCTAAATGCTTTCATTTTCATAAAAGATTCCCTATTATGGCATCATATTCTATGTATCTATTCCGAGCATGGGGACCATGTTTTACTAACTTTTTTTCTCTTTTTCAAGACTACACATGAAATTGCATTTCCAATGGAAATTTATCAACCGAAAGACAATACCTTTTTTCATGGTACTAAAAAGTAAATTTACAACAAATTGTTCAGTGACCAATCTGACATGATAATGAGGCAGTCTTGAGACAAAAAAAAACTATCCAGAAGTTAGACACACAATACCCCAAGCTCTCAATTTCAGTCACAAGGACCTACTGCTCTTTCCTACAATCACTTAGTGCATATCATCCGGATCCTCCATAGTAATCAGAAACTCTTTTTGTCGACGGCATTCACGCACAAGTGCCACCACAACACAAAACTTTGTCACTGCAGTGTCATTTATGCTGCCATTCCCCATACTCTCACCTCTCACTCACTGGCGTCTAAAACTCTCACCCAAGAGGCTCATAAACATGATCAATCAAAAACAAAATGTAGACCTAGCTTTACAATTCTTTGACCATGCTGCGAAATATCACCTCAATTTCTTTCATAATTCTGATACTTATCATATATAGAGAAATTAGCCATGGCTAGGGATTTGAATTCCATGGAAATTATACTCAAAGAGCTAAAGGATCCCAAAATTTCAGTGAAATAACATTCATGGATGTTATTCCAATCTATGGCTTTGCAAACAAGCCCAAGTTGGCCCTTCAGTCCTTTTTCAGGATGCATGAGTTTAGGATAAACAAGTCAGGTCTTTTAATGCAATGATTCAGATCTTTTAGTACTCTTTTGAATGCAATGATTCAGAACAAAAGGCTTGATTTGGTTAATTATATGTATTGTATAGGAATTGCAGGAAATTTGGGATATTTCCAATTGTTTTTACCTACAATATCCTAATTAAGGCCTTGTGTTAAACGAACGATTTGAAATCTGCTTTCTAGGTTTTGGGGGAGATGCCAAGCTAGGGTTTTTTTTTCCAAATACTATAACTCTATAACTCTATAACCTTTCCAAATTTGGATGAGATTATAAGCAGAGTTTGGGTCCCTGATCGTTCAACTTGCACAGTCATAATTGATGGTTTAGGGAAATTACTGGAGGCTGTTAAGCTCATAGTGACATGAAGGACAATTGAGTTCTTCGAAATGATGTCACGTATGGTGTAGTTATTAAATCTTACCATAAAGAGCGGCGACCAAGCGAGGCTTTAAGCCTTTTGAATGAAATGCTTGAGAAGAAGTTTATACCATGCCCATCCTCGTGTTGCAAATTTTTTTATTTTATATGTCAAGAAGGCAAGGTTGATGAGGCTTGTATGCTATGGAAGAAGCTCTTAAAGAGGAACTGCACCCAGATAATCCTATATATAGTACACTCATGTATTGCCTTTGTGAAGGTGGTAAACTTAAAGCGGCGAGGAAGCTTTTTGATGAGTTTGAGAAAGGGTTTTATCCAAGACATATAATAGAATGGGGAGTTGTGAGAGGCAGGGAGATTATGGGATGATATGCTCGGCAAAGCGTGTGTTACTAAGGTTTTTCACTAACAATAGGTTGATCAAAGGGTTTTCTAGCACTAGAAGGGCAAGTGAAGGTTTTAACATATTTGGAGGAAATGCTACACAAAAGGTGCAATGCCAATGAGTCCGCAAATGCCCAACACAGTGTGCTCCCATGATGGGGTTAGACTATTTAGGACAATAGAGGCTGGTATGTGGTCTGGGATTGTGTTCCCAAATGTGTCTTTTACGTGGACATTCATTTTTATGAACATGCTCGGTGACCATGTCTATTTCTTTCACCCTTCAAGAATTGTACTTTTCTTGTCCTATTTACTTTGTCATTTTCTACTTTGTCTTCTTCTAGCCATTTTTCTAATATTCTTCTTCTAGCCGTTATTGTCCTATCTACTTTGTACTCTTCTAGCCTTTACGTGGAATATTGGATTTCTGTTCGTTTCCTATATTTTAATAAAAACTGCTAAATGCCTTCTTTCTGTTGAAAATGCAATTAGTGGAATACTGAAGCGAGCTTCTAATGGGGAGGGATCCTTCAATTGGTCACTTTTAGTATCAGAATGTTGGTCCACTTTTTGGGCATTATGTCGTAGATTTGATGCGGTTATTTATGGTGCATGGTTCTTTGATACTGCCAACATGAAGAAAACACCCACTTTACTCATTTAAAAAACAGATCATAAGGGGAAAAAAAAAGGCGGAACTATAAATCAAGACCAAATATCTTGTTAATGCTCCTGGAATGACTGCTTCAAATAGACGCAAGTATAACTTGAATTCTTTCATTAATGTTAACTAATGGCTTTTCATATCCCGCTGGGCTTGCAGGACCTCACCTTGTTGCGCAGCAGCTCAAATGACTTTGACACTTTTGGTTCATGAAATAGTTTATCAAATTTTACGGTGAAAATGGAGGATTGGGGTAAGTTCTTGTCTCCTTTCTTTCCCTGAGAAATGAAGATGAGCTGCAGTTAATATTTAGTGTTTAAACTGAATGGATACTTTGTATGCTTCAATATTCTGATGCACTAACCATGGTATTGCTGGACCAAACCATGTGAAGTTATGAACATTTGTTGCCATGGGATGTGTAGGGTTATATGCATGCTCATGAGTTTGGCTTGCTGCTGGATGTCAATATGTGTTAGAAGGCTTATCATCTTAAACATAGTCAAGTCTTTTGGAAGAAGATGAAACATAAAACCTAGGACAGGCCACCTAGTTCATGACTAGGTGTTTTTCAAAAAACGCCGCCTAGGCGGCGGCCGAATTTTCGTTCATTGATACTATGAGACCATTTACCTTTGTTGAAAGGAGGTCATAATTGTTGTGAGCCATTAAATGTCAAATTGGATGCCTCGAGATTTCACTAAGATAGAGAAACTTATCTTGAAAACTGTGAGTCTAACAAATGACACTCACAACCACTCAATTTGAAATGTGATGGACTAGTGTGATTGTTATCTCCTTGCATTAAAAGTAAGTAAAAATTACTAAAATCCCCCAAGTTGGATGTTCTTCTTGTATTGCCTCCAATTGAAAATCTCTTTCGTCCAGTATCCCAAAATATTTCTTTTTTTTCACTGGCTCCCCAAGATACTCTTTAACTTTGTTTGTGATAAAAGTGCCCTTATTAATGTTTCATATAAAAGTAAAAAAAAGAAAAAATCATATTTTTGTCTTTTTTAATTTTTAATTTTTCTCTTTCTAAGCCCACCTTCCATTCCGTCATCTCTTTTAAACTTTAAATGGTTATGTTAGTTTCTCTCTCTAAGTCTCTCTTTAGAAATGTGAATAGGTTTGTTGGTTTGTCTTTCTTTCCCATTCTCTCTAAAAGCATGAATTGATTTTTTGGTTTATCTTTCTTTCTCATTTTATCTCTCCGAGTAGAAACCTATTACATCTCTAGAGAGAGAAACTAGTCCATTTTCATTTTTAGGGAGGGATATGAATATGAATGAGACTAGTTTTGCTTTATGGGGTGGAATGTTGGGCAGACAAAAAACAATATGCCCACATAATGAGTTTAGCAGAGATGAAGATGTTGAGATGGATAAGTGGCAAGACAAGAAGGGATAGATCTCGAAATGAATCCATTTGGAAAAAATTTTGTGTAACACCATTAAGTGATAAGATGAGAGAGGCTAGAGTTTGGTGGGCTGGCCATATGTGGTGTCGACCCAGTGCATCGCCTGTTAGGAGGTGCAAGTTAGTTCAAGTGAAAGAATTGAAAAGGGTAAGGGGTGAGACCAAAAGGACGTGGTTGGAAGTAATTTAAAAAGATATGGGGACATATAGCCTCATTGAGGGTATGGCCTTTAATAGAGTAGAATGGTAGATCAGGATTCATGTAGCCGACCCCAATTAATTGAGAAGAGGCTATGATGATGATGATGATATGAATTATGAATATGAATGAGATTGCGTCTTTAGTAACTTTTTGGGCTTCCAATCACCTCCTCTTTGTAGGAATCTCTGCTACATCTTTTCTTCACGACTGGAGAAATATTATGTGCCACCGTCCCTGCAAGCCCAATCGAACCCACTGGTGGCAACTGCCTAACTTTGGTATTATTAAACTCAATTTCGATGGCTGCTCCTTTGGAAACCCAGTCCACACAGGAGCTGGGTGTGTATAGGGACCATTGTGGGGCTATCCTGTACCCTTATTCAGTATACTTAGGCATCCAAGACTCTCAATTTGTTGAAGCTATGGCCCTCCTAGGTTTGAAAAGTCTCAACTCCTCTTGGGGACAAAGGCTTAATGTGGAAGGGGACGCTAGGAACGTTATCACTGGGGAGCTTTTGAAACGCTGACAATGGCCTTATAAATCATTCGATAAAAAGTGAATGACAAAAACCCACCCAATTATTAATTGTCTGTTATTCATCAAAACTCTCATATACATATTTTGATAGAACCAAATGTGTTGGTCAATCTTTATTTCTAGCTACTGTAAACAAGCATATATGTTATAAAATTGGTAACAAATATCCACCAATTTGTATCAATGTATACTTGGAGATTTGGCAGCTTTGGCAAAACTTAAGGTCATTTAGTTAACTTTTCCAACCTGAGCTTGTTTTTTAATAATGCTTTTTGTATTTTATGATTCTAGTTTTGCCTTTGGCCGCTAGGATGGTGTTATAACTTATTGATAAAAAAATATACATTGTGTATAATCTTGCCTTCTATTGTTTTGTGTAACCAATTAACTATAGTGGAGCTAGACTGGGATATGTGGGTCCTGTAGGAGATACAAATTCTGCTATTAGAATAATATTTTATTGTTGGTTGCAACATTGGTTGAGTTTGTTTTTTTTGAAGTTGTATTGAAAAGAAAAAAAGATAGTACAAAATAGGACCACCTGGGGGGTTTTGTACATAAAAAATGGCTGCCCTTGGGGGATGGAGCTATATACAATTCCCTAGAGACGGTAATTAAAGGAAGGAGAAAGGGGAAGGGAGCGGGAACCCTTAGAAGGGACTCTGACTGAGTATGCAAAAAATGCTTAGCCTATGGCTTGTGACGTGCCCTCTTTAGCATGAGTTTGCTTCTATGTCATACTCACGGTATATTTGTCTCCAAGTAATCATAAGTTCATAAGTCCTCTTCTTACATGGGATATTTCATCAACAATGTGGAGCAGGGGCCGTTGGCAGTTAGCCGAACCAGAGGCCCATGAAATAACATTGTGGGAGTCCCTTGCTATGGTGAGACCTTGGCCCCAAGAGTTGTCAAATAGTTTGAGGCCCTCAAGAAATATGATCTAGCATCTGCTGATTGGAAATCGGAGTGACCTATGGACTTCGAGAAAGAGGTCAAAGTGGAGCCTTTGTGGTCTCTAAAAAGACCTATACTTGATGGCCCTGGGTTGCCTATGGAACAACCATCAAGGTTGAGCTTTATGCGGCCCAACTCTGGAGGAAGCCACAAGGAGGCTCGTGAGTTACTCGTGTGGTGGTAAGAAAAGGAGATTGTACTAGTGTAGGTGGTAGATATAAATTCTTTTAATCATCTTCAGGTTATATTGGTGAAGATAGAAATTCTCCTCTGGTAAGTTCAATTCCTTAGTGGGATGTTTATTTCATACTCTTATTATAATTGAAACATAGAGGGTGATTTAGTGCGTGCTTTTGATCTAGTTGCTTTTTCTGGATGGAATAGCACTTTGATTTGATGTGCATGTGTGGTGTTTCAGAATGCTAGATTCCCTGGATTGGATCCATCGGTCTCTGATCGAGTTAAGAACCGGACATGGGTATTGTCTTTTTTGTTTTGTGACTAAGTAGATGATTTTCATGCATTTCAATTGCCTTGGATTTATCGCCTTTTCATTTTTCTTGAATGAGGATCAATTCCTCTTTCCTTTGGTGACTAAGTAGATGAATTTCGTTCATTTCAATTTCATTTCTACCAGCGCTTACAATAACATTCGCCCTTCCTGGGCATAAATGCACAACCAACTGTTAAAATTATTGGATATTTTTCACATTGGATTGATTTAGAAGGTTTTGCTACGAACTTTAGTTATATGGGGGATACTATTTTCATAAGGAAAACTGACATTGTATCTCAATTTAATGAAAGGGTAGCCCATGATTATCATCTATTTTGGGTTATCTATGGTATTTATTATTTTGCATGAGAATTTGGTTATATGAATGGGGACTTGCAAAATGGGAACTAGGTTTCACGCATGTTGATTTAATTGTATGGGGAATAGGTATAAGGGTAGGTTGGTCGTTTTACTATTTTGTTAGAGGTATTTTGGTCAATATCAAGGGTCCATAAGTGGGTTTAAATGTACTGCACATACGCAGCTATTGATGTTATTTTGTTTTATGGAATTGGAAAGCATTCCCTCCTACTTTGGTGTAGTAGAGAAAACCCCTACTTTGTGTAGAGGTGCAGCCTTACTTCGAGTAGTGACGTGGTTAGGGCTGGAAAGGCCCTTGTTCCTTTACCTTTCTTGATGGTGATCTAGGATGTTTTCCTCTTGTTGATCGTCTGGCATGATCGACGGGTTGTTGTTGTTGAATTGGTCTCGGATCCCTCCTTTCTGGGTGTCGGTTTTGCACCACTATGCATTAAAATTGGGGCTTTGTAATAAACTGACGAGCACGTAAACTGTTATGAGAACAACTCAAAGACATGGTCATTGTATGTTTGATGGAGTAATTGTGATGTGCTCGATTTAGCCACTTAAACATGCTAGAATTGCCCAATTCTAGCCGTTTACACTCGTTGAAATTGCCTCAGTTCAGCGGCAAGTTGCTAAGTGCAGTGATAATTTGATGAGATTAGGGTTTCTCTATTGTCTGTCTATTTAAGACCGCAAAAAAAATTATGCTCGCACAATGAGATTAACTCTCCTCTGGTTATGAGGTGGATTATAACTGCAATTGGATACAAACTGCCTTTGTCATTAGCGACCAAACATCATTCAGAGCGATCTCCTTTGACACTTTGGTGTAGTAGAGAAGGCCCCTACTTTGTGTAGAGGTGCAGCCCTACTTCGAGTAGTGACGTGGTTAGGGCTGGAAAGGCCCTTGTTCCTTTCCCTTTCTTGATGGTGATCTAGGATGTTTTCCTCTTGTTGATCAACGGGTTGTTATTGAATCGGTCTCAAATCTCTCCTTTCTGGGTGTTGGTTTTGCACCACTGTGCATTAAAATTGGGGCTTTGCAATCAGCCAATGAGCGCATAAACTGTTATGAGAACAACTCAAGGACATGGTCGTTGTATGTTTGATGGAGTAATTGTGATATGCTCGATTCAGCCACTCAGATATTCTAGAATTGCCTAGTTTCAGCCATTTATACTCGTTGAAATTGCCTCAGTTCAGCGGCAAGTTGCTAAGTGCAGTGATAATTTGATAAGATAAGGGTTTCTCTATGGTCTGTCTATTTAAGACCACAAAAAAAATTATGCTTGCACAGCGAGATTACCTCTTCTCTGGTTACGAGGTGAATTATAAACTGCAATTGGATACAGATCTGCCTTTGTCATGAACGACCAAACATCATTCAGAGCGGGTTGGCTTCACCTCATCTACCAGATCCTCAAATCTCCTTTGATTTGGCCTTTTTTACATCCCTCGTACACCACTTGCTCAATTCTCATTGAATCATTTTATTCCCTCACATAGAACTTTGTCACCGCTACATTCATGAACTTGACCTCTCTGACCGCCATCGAGCAAACTTGCAGCAAATGCTCATGCGCTTTGGGAACGGGCCTGCTCCAATACCAAATGGTATGGTGGAAAGACAAAAGAGGAATAGAGAAATCAAAGATCGAATTGATTGAAATAACAGGAATTACAATCCAAGCTTCTAGCTCTCTGGTGAAACCAAGATTTTGAACAAAACGATATCTATTTCTGAAAGCAAAACCCGGAATACAACCACTATTTATAATAAAAGATCTTACTTAAATTCCAAGGAATCCTAATTCTAATTGAAAAAAAAGAAGTCCCGATTAAAACAAAATTTGTGATAGCATCTTTACCATTGATAAAATAAATAATTCCATAATAACTCTTAACTAGCTTAATCAAGCATTAATGTTGAGGCCTACCCAGCCTGTTCACCAAATGGCTTTATGCCCAAGCCCTCAATCAAGCCCATCCTTAGCTATCTATTCCACCCCTCAGCCTACCTCTTCACCCTTAATTCCACCTCAACCTCCTATTCTCCCCTGGCTATCATTTTTTTCACATTCCCCCTTTTAAAGGTCCCCTACCCCCTCTGCTACCGTACAATGTTAGTGAGGAGCATCCTTCTCTTCCACCCACGCATCTTTCCCCCCCTTTGATAACCCTCTTCCTCCTATTCCTCGGAATCTTCTTCACCAGTCTCTGTGGACTCTAGCTCTGTGGACGTAATCGACCACGCCCAAGGCAATCCTCACGAGATCCTTTCAGTGATAGACTTCCTGTTCAACAGCCCACATAAAGCCTTTGAAGCCTTCATCAATGCTGTTAGCGAATCTAGACACCAGGGTAAGTTGAAGAATGTCAAAGGTAAGGCTCCTGCCACCAATTCGAGAGTATCCTGAGAGCTATCCAAACTTTTTCAAAGTAAGGTATGAGAAAAGAAAACCCTCAGCTAAGGTCCTTCCCATTCCCTCGGCTCCTCAGCATTCTCGCCGCTCGACCAAGAGTGTCATCTACCCCTTAGTTGTGCTATGAAGATCCTTATTTAGAATATAAGTGGTTTGGGCTACCCAGGAAAACGGTAAAATGTTCGTGAATTTGTTTCGCAGTATTCTCTGTCTCTTTTTGGTTTGGTGG